TTACTCTATGCACTCACAAGCATTCCATTACATCTCAGCTATTATTATTTGGGCACTGTCATACCAGCTGTGCCGAACTTATGTTTGGTCTGGATGTTTCTTGATGGAGGGGTCTTCACACTTGCATTAATACTGGTTGCATGGGCTTCAATCGAACGATATATTCTAATTTTTCATGATAAGTGGATGTCAACAAGAGAGAAACGTTTTCTTATTCACTACCTTCCTTTAGCTGCAATATTTACTTATTGTTTTATATTTCATGCAGTCACAATTCTATTCCCGCCATGTGTGAATATATTCCAATACAATTTACCCTTATGTGGTCGTCCTCTTTGCTATTATGAGCTGAGATTTGTTGCCTTATGGGATACTATAACTAATAATATATTACCTACTCTAGCTATTATTTTATTTAGCATTGCTCTTCTTATACGCGTTCTATTACAAAAACATCGCATGCATCAACAACTTCAATGGAAAAAACATCGAAAAATGACAATTCAATTATTATCGATATCGATCCTTTATTTGTTTCTTTATATTCCACCCATGTTTGTGGAACTCATGCAACAATGTTGCCTGGCCGAAGATTTTGGTGCTGATTTTCAACTGGAAGCACAGTTTTTTTCCTATTATGTCATATGTTTGTTTCCTTTTTTAAGTGCCATGTCATTACCAAAGAGAAAATTCAAACTCAAAAAATTATTTTCTTGTTGGCGTGGAAGAAAACGTACTGTTGGTCCAGAAACATTAGTCATGGCGGGTTTAAGGCAAGCTCAGCAAACTACTATGGTATGCAATCGTCAGGCAGCGTTAGCTATACAAAAAATTGATTACCGACGGAATAACAACTAAATTAATATTGTTGTAAACGTTTTGAAGTATTCAACTATGAGAAGGAGGGGCTCTCGAAAAATAAAATTTATCCTATTGTACTTTTCTCTATAAGTTTTAAGATGATTATAGAGAATAAAGATTTTTTTTCTCACTCAAACACTTGAAAAAATAAAAGCAAGGAATACCAATAACAGTACACTTCTCTGTTGATCTTCATATTGATTTATTGACTATTGCTATCTAAATTTAAAATGAAATAACTACGCTTTTTGGACTGCCACATTTATTGATAAGAACGGATATGTTATACGAACTTTAGTTGGAATAAGTTAATAATCATACACGACATTAAACGATGATCTATTAGATGAGATAACATTTTATTTATGAAAATATAGTTTAACATAGGTTCAGTAAAAATCAGTCTGAAGCTTGTTCAATTGAATTTCATATGAAGCATACATTATCAAACTTGAACAACTATAATGATTGTAGTAGCAAACTAATCAGAATAAATAAAATATTTATGAAATATACGTGTGTATTTTTTCTCTACTAATATAAAAATTTTGAAAGAACAACTCTCTCTCGGTATTTTTTTACATCTTTGCACAACGTGCTTGTTAACTTGATCAAATATTCGAATGTTTGACGCACACATATATGAGATAAGAATAGATTAATAATAATAAAAAGGTACACACTGGTGTTTTTTTTTCTTTCATACACGACAAATGAAAATGATATAGACCGAAGAAATAAAAAAAGCGTTATTATTTTTTGGTAATAATCGTTATGGAACTATCTATCTACATATGAAATCGTATATACATCATTTAAGTAAGTTTAAATGTTCGGATGATGTTGAATAGTGTATTTGCTAATAATTGTGCATAAGTCGATCTAGTTCAATGTTTTTTTTTAAATTTTATTCATCATCTAAAAATAGTTGATATCGCACTTTCGAGATGTCATCTACTTCCCGTTTATCTGATCCTGTTGAAAGCAACAAATAAGTTAGCTTTGGAATATTGTATTTTCAGATATTTCACAAGGTCTCTTCAAATTTGATATATAAATAGAGTAATATAAATCAATATTAGTAATCCGTTGAAAGTAACCTGAGCTACTTCAACAAATATATTCCGATGGTTGGCAGTATCGAATTCCAGTAAAAGTAATCAATCAGTTTTTGTTCGTTCGTTCGTTTTAGTCTTACAATTGATATTTCTTATTGATCATGACAAAAACGCTGTTATCGTACCACATACGATAAGTATCAATACTGTCAAAAAAATGATTTAATATAAGTGAAGTGGAGTATATAAATATTATATTATTTGTCGAAGTATACTGTTTGGTATCCTGTCGTTAAGTATATAGTTCAAGAGATTGACTCAATAAATGTCCCTAATAAATTATTTTTGCTTCAGTTTTCTATAGAAATACCTTCATTGATCTCAAACTATATAGTATTTTAATTTCTAGATTCATTCTATTTTACACACATCCATGACTAGCACTCATTCTCGCTACAAATTCGTAGCTATTGTCGTTTGCTTTCTGGTCATTATTGTATTCATCAATTTTTCATCTCTACCGAGTGGAGCGCAACAAACTTATATAGCATTAAGCAAAGCTTTCTATACACAAGTGTCAATCAATCAAACATGTACACAACAATATCAATTTCGAATGGACTTGCTCAAGAACGATTGTGACATTAGAATTCATGAAAAAATACAAAACTGTCTTATGCCAAAACAGAATAGTCTTCAATTAAGTGTTGATTTGGATTTTATGTGGCGTCCTAGGTAAATACCGATAGACAAAAGATTCTTTAATTAATTATTGAGATTTCAATGAATCGATCTATGGTCTTCTTAGTCCTTTTACCAATACATTATGTTAATTTATTCATTATAATTTGTTTCACATACTGAACTACAATTAAATTTAATTGTAGGTGGGCTACATACTATCGACGTGGTTGTTCAGCTCCAACATTCTCAAGAATAGACAGGACCAATAACACGTTAATTATCGACTGTTCACCCTCGATGCAACCGAAATATGGGTTTAAAACAAGACATTCGATCAATAACGATTATACAGGTCCTGTTTCGATAGATGAACATGAATGGATTTATGCTAAATGTCATTTGCCTTTTTTTACTGAACCAACAATTCGTTTTCATCTTCATTCTCAACCACTTCCACCAGTATCCGAAGTGATGCGTGAAAGACCAAATGTTGTTTTTATTCAATTTGACGCTCTTGGTCGACACGCAATGCGCAGAAGAATGCCTCGTTCTTATGAACTTCTCACTTCCTACAGGTACGTTGATTTTTTTCATATGCCAACTTAAATATTCGTTATGATTAAAATTTTAGCACCACAGATCCATCATCTTCTTTACTAACGGGATTAAACAGAGTTGGAGCAGTCGAATTTCATCATTTGAATGTCAATGGAAGAAATTCTGTGCCAAACATGCGGCAATTGTATTGCGGATCTGGTAACTGCAAGAAAACATCCTTATTAAGTATATACAAACAAAGTGGATATTCAACCAGTTTAATAGATACCTACGGATTTCAACCGAAAGGATTTGTTCCTCAGAAATCAGTCGATCGTATATTAGCTGCTAACTATTTTATTGAATATGGTCGAGATGCTCAAGAATTGTATAGTCATAAAAGCGGTTGCGTAGCAAACACGACATGGATCACTGATGAAATCTTTGATTATTTACGAGATCGTTTTATAATGATGCGGTCGGGAGGTTGGTTTTCAATTAATAATGTCTTAGATGCTCATAGTGAAGATGAGCTAAATAATTATGCAGTTACGGATATTAAATTTCATGAATTTCTTCTCGATTTAAATAGATTAGAAGCATTAGATAATACAATTATGATTATTGTTGCCGATCATGGTTTACATGGTCACGATTGGAAAGAACTTTGGCGGGAGTTTGATCAAAGAAATCCTCTCTTGCATGTATTGGTAGGTAAAAATATTCTAGAATTCGATGATATTATTGAAAATTTGAAAGCAAATAGTGATAAGCTTGTCACTCACGGTGATATTTATATGACAATTGCTAGTTTTTCTGAAACTGCTCTTCCATTAAAATTACCAAATACAGTTAATCTTTTCACAGAACAAATATCGATCAATCGAACTTGTCAAATTGCAGATATTCCTGACGAATGGTGCAATTGCTGGGTGCCTAAGCCATGCATTGATGCTGAACAGTAAAGAAAAAGACTTTCGATTCTTTAATTTTTTATCTGTTATTATAATTGCATTATTATTCAAGATCCACAGTGTAATATGTAGACTTGTGAAATTTTCAAATCGATTCTTGAAAAAGAGAACTAGACATGCGAATCTTGTTCCTATAGGAAAAAAGCAATTAGTGTTCAGAACTGAGAAACTTTCACAAACCCAGTAATGTTTTTTTGTCTGTACTGTTTACCTTACTGTTAGTGACATTATACATACATATGAAATAAAAATGTTTTTAGGTTTACTTCTGACAGTCGTACAATTAGCATTTATTGAAATATACGATTCAGAAATGCAACTAAAGGTGGGTGTGGGGATGACTATGCATATATGATGCATTAAACCAAGAAATTACCAACAGAAACTTGAAAGATAAGATTTAATCTGACAAAATAAACAAAAAGCCTCACCCATAGTTGCACATTCCCAGCTTGGGTTTTTTCCTTTTCATATCGCTTTAATTTCAATTTGTTTGTCTTTATGCTATTGCAAAACTGTTGTTTTACGTTCTTCATGTGTTTGTTATGATTTCTTTTCATCATCTGTAAATGCTTTTTTGTTTACTTTGGATTTTTCCCCGTGATCGTGTAGGTTACTTCAATAAACTAGTTGGAAGAAAAAAATCAGAACTATTTAATCATGCTGTCTTAATAGCAAATGATTCATTCGAAAAAGAAAATAGTGAATTTAGCACTTGCATTTATAGGTAAGCTAAACAGATTGTTTTAAATACTCTGTTTCGAATATAATCGGAATACTG